ACATGTCATCAGAGATACGTAACATGTCATCAGAGATAAGTAACATGTCATCAGAGATACGTAACATGTCATCAGAGATACGTAACATGTCATCAGAGATACGTAACATGTCATCAGAGATAAGTAACATGTCATCAGAGATAGATAAGTAACATGTCATCAGTGATACGTAACATGTCATCAGAGATACGTAACATGTCATCAGAGATACGTAACATGTCATCAGAGATACGTAACATGTCATCAGAGATACGTAACATGTCATCAGAGATAAGTAACATGTCATCAGAGATACGTAACATGTCATCAGAGATAAGTAACATGTCATCAGAGATAAGTAACATGTCATCAGTGATACGTAACATGTCATCAGAGATACGTAACATGTCATCAGAGATACGTAACATGTCATCAGAGATACGTAACATAGCATCCGCGACATACCCTACCAAACCTCTGAGTCATAATGCTTGTCAATTTATCAGAGCAGCTCCTACTACAAGCAAAACGTGTGGTTAGAACAATATCTGTACCCCATCGAGTAATAATAACCGAGACATAAAACGTTAACACCAGCCATTAGTCAGGTGTCGGCAACACGAACTTGGGAAATGGAGTAAGGATAGCGATTGCTGTTCTCTGAACATGTTTAAAGAAAAGATGCAATTTGTGTTGACTGTAAAATGTCTCAGAGGTGAGGTGAGGTGAAATTGGATTTAACGTCGTGCTTGAGAATATTTCGCTCATATGACGACGTGCATGCGTGTGTATGTGTAAGTGCGGCTGCTTGTACTAGCCCAGACTGAAGCTGGTTTTATAGTGCTAGCCCACTGAGATACCATGCCGCAGTGAAGCACGAATACCCCACTCAGACACATTATACTGACTCCGAGCCAACCAGTCCTTGTTGTACCCATTAATGCCGAGCGCCAGGCAGGGACCAAGAAGTACCATATTTTAACGTCTTTTGGTATGACGCGGTCGGGGATCGAACCCGTGACCTTCCGCTCTCCGGGCTGACGCTCTAACCACTACACCACGGAGGCGGTCAAAATGTCTCAGAGAATAAGTTCAAGATGACTACTACTTTAAGCAAATGCCAATGGGTCAGTAGGTAGCAGACTGAAGGGGAGGTTGTTCCCTTGTTACGCCAGAGACGAGTTCTGTTTCTCACAATGCGGCAATGTGTATACCATTGTGCATCAGCTGTGTGCCCATAGTTAGAATATTGCGTAAGTACTATGAACAAACCAAACATACAAACCAACGGGCGTGCCAGTATCACATCGTCAATAGCAACCATTGAGGACATCTTGACCTCGTCACTGGCGTGAATGAATCTGTACGATGGATATCTATTGCCACATATACACTCTGCACCATCACACAACTTAACCTAACGATATCGGTAAAAATACACAAGTAAGCAAATAATGAGAATGGTTATTTCAATCTGAAAAAATGGGATAGTAACTTGATCACTTTACGGTACTTTAACCAGTAACCATACCAGCGAGATAGAGTCCACTATTGCGGTTGCAGCGCCCTCTAGCGGCAGGTGCAGAGTAGGCCTGCGATCACCCCAGACAACTCCGGAAGGACGTAGAAGAGCGATACTCCCTTTGTTGGGGCAACCTTCCTACCGATCTGAGCAATACGATCATAACAAATTGAGTTTCGAAGATGCAAGGCTTCGTTTCTACAGCTAATTTACGTCGTTATTAGTCTAGATAGCGTCGTTAGCATTTGATTTGATGTGTGTTTTATTACTGTCATCAACGCGTCTGTAATGATGACGCTAAATGGATTATGTTCTAATCAACCACACGACGTAACAGGCGGGAGTCGTTCTGACCCTAAGTGAAATTCATCAACATCTAGCTCGCCCATCGTTATCCTCTCATCTAGCCGGATAGAACGGCTTTTTGCACTTAATGGGTATCGATCTGAGGTTTCGAAAACGATCGTCTTCACCTACTGAATGCTGATCTCTATATAAGCGTAGAATGGTCTTGATGAGATGGAAAATCTACAAGTTAAGGAATGAAACGAGTTGACGAGCCCTTAATTCTCCCTTATGATGTAACCAGAGCGTCTCTCGACCAGGGGACATCTCAAGGGGCACCTGGAGAATAGTGTGTAATTACCCCCATCTGTACTCTTGTATAGATGACTGGGTAACTTTGACTTAATGTTGCTTTGACAACTATTTTAGTTATATTATAGGGTGCCATTTTGATGTGGTAGAAAGCCCATTAATGGCATAGATGGCGATTACCATGGGAAAAGGAAGAGCGACAAAAGCCTTTCCAGAATCATAGGGAATATGTTCTAAAAGAGTCCTCTGAAGTCAATTGTTTACCTGACATATACGAGAACAGATGGTACGAAGGTAAGATGGGTATAGATTAGATTAATACTCATGGTCGGAGAAAGTCCAGATTCGAATCAGCGTATCATTGTACAAGCAAGGGAGGCAACTTTCAACAGAGAGTTAGATGACAGATCCTCCCATGCCCAAACGTAAATAACACTTCCAGGGGTTGCATTACATCACCCATACTCAGTACTATCTATTACACATGACGTCCTTTGTATCTAAGAGTAACATTATCCACAATAACATGACCCTGGTTATAAGCCATCATGAATGACGTCATGCTATTGTTCTTGCAGTTTATTCTGAGCCAGGAATTTACATTTTAAACAAGCAAAGCTGACGAAACCAGATATCCCTACAAAAAAACAAAGACATCATCAAAGTCAGGTCAAATCGGGCGAATGTGTTGTTAAAACTTCTTGGGGTCAACAGATTCTCTCAGTTTCCCCATTACATAATTCTACGCGAATGAAGAGCATTTGCACATTCATGAGCCAGGGCAGGAGATGTAGCCAAAATCCCATCGGTGTAACAATGCCAGCGCTATTTCTGTACTTGTATGCCTCAAATGTTGTTCAACTTCTCACAAATATTCCATGAACAGTTATCCGGCCTGAACGGCCGTGGTGTACAGTATTATTGATCTCTGACAGCGACTCAATACCGAGATCGACGTTTCAGGACGCTGTGAACCTTTGATTATGAAACGAATTCCATCAAACGACTTCGTGTTCAAACTCTGGAAGAGTTATCAATCTTGTTATTGACATCAAACGGAAACAATACCCCATTCACCGATGAAAAGTTTTCTTTTAACCATAGGCAGACCCAAAACATTAGTTTGGAGCTACACTAGAATTCAATGGTTGGCCATCTGTTGATTTGTTAAGGCAAAATAATTTAAGAATATTTATGAATGAATTGCCAAGTCATTTGAACGAGTCGATGGAGTCTCAAAACCAGCTACAGGTCTTACAGGACTATTTCAAAAGCCCAAAGTTAAAATCATTTAAAATGTCAAAAATTTATAAGGGTGAAAGAAAAATCAACGTAGTGCAAAAAGATCGAGCAAAGATTTTGACAGCTCTTGAGATTACAGGATCCCGGCGGAAGAATTTATAACGAAGTAGTCCCACCGGAAATTGAGCTGCCCGCGGCTTGAGAACGGGTGAAGAGCCGGGCGTCCGGAACTGGTCGATCTGATGGACATTAAGCTTGTGACAGGGGGCCTTTTAACTACCAGAACGCTTATCACCGACTATAAAAGCTGTTATCTGTGATTTGCAAACAATTAAAGTAATTGTTCGACCTTGAGTACGAGGACGCGGGCAGGTTTGCTGTAAGGTTTTAATGCTGTAACCAAGGGTGTGTAGATTTCACGACAAACACAACACTCTAACTTAATCCTTCCACCCTCGAAATAGTGTACAATCTTTATATTTTACACATTATTCTTTATTTGATATAGTCACTCATTTCTCCAGGAAAAGTTACTATTCGTGTTGGGAGCGGTGGGGTAGCCTAGTGGTTAAAGCGTTCGCTTGTCACACCGAAGACCCGGGTTCGATTCCCCACATGCATACAATGATTGAAATTTATTTCTGGTGTCCCCGCCGCGATGTTCTGGAATATTGCTAAAGGCGGCGTAAAACTAAACACACTCACTCATTTTCGTCTTGAGTAATGCTGCCATTGAATCGATTATCAATTACTGTTTCGGTTTTACATTCAGAGTGCGAGTGTGTGTCGGTGTCGTGGAGTGAGTGACTGACTGTGTGGACGGAAGAGTACTGAATGTAGGGATGTACTGGATGAAGCACTAGTATTACTGCCAACATAGCCCTGACAGAGATCCAAGGTTAACGAGAATCCGAGACTTAACCCGAGATAAGCAGACTGTGTTTAAGACAAAGGTCACCATTTTATGTTCACATCAAGTATGGTATCAGACGATGTGATCGAGTGGTACGGAGCACAACTAAGAATACCCACAATACATGCAAAATACAACTCCAGCAAAACCAATTCCAGTCTGTTGCTACGGAAACTATATGTTGTTATTGATTGGAGAGAGAGACAGATTTAGACAAATGTTTAGGTTATATACGTGAAGTAAACAGTGTTTGATTAGTGATATACAACATGTTCAAACATGTATGTGTTTGAGGCAATGCTGATATGGAAGAATAGTTCAATCGGTTTAGGTGAGAAAAGATATTTCTTCGATACGGAAATAACGCTTCAGTTCCTATATCTGAATTCTGTTTGCGATGACACCTAATAGAGATACAGGGGTTCAGGAGCAGTTAAAGACCAACCGATATGCCATTGACATTAGTATTGAATGAATATCGCTTTTAGCAATATTCCAGCGATATCACGGCGGGGGACCCCAGAAATGGGCTTCACACACTGAACCATTGTGAGGAATCAAACCCGGGCCTTCGGCGTGACGAGCGAACGCTATAACCTCTAGGCCCTTAAAATTAGTAAGGATGCGATATTGCTTTATATTAACAAAGTAATATAGTAATATAAAAATAATATACTCAGACAAATCTCTAAATGATACTTGGTAAAAAATCACCTGATGTTAATCCAAAGGAAGGTCGGTACTCACGTTTTTCGAGGCAGCGTTGAGCTTGGCGGCGTGGCGAGGATCGACAGCAGGTGCAGACAGGACTGAAACAACACAGCAATGTTGTTATGACATATATAACTATAGTTTTGTTACACAAGACCAACAACACAGCAATGTTTTTATGACATATATAACTATAGTTTTGTTACACAAGACCAACAACACAGCAATGTTGTTATGACATATATAACTATAGTTTTGTTACACAGGACTGAAACAACACAGCAATGTTGTTATGACATATATAACTATAGTTTTGTTACACAAGACCAACAACACAGCAATGTTTTTATGACATATATAACTATAGTTTTGTTACACAAGACCAACAACACAGCAATGTTGTTATGACATATATAACTATAGTTTTGTTACACAGGACTGAAACAACACAGCAATGTTGTTATGACATATATAACTATAGTTTTGTTACACAAGACCAACAACACTGCAATGTTGTTATGACATATATCACCAGAGCCTAAACCAGAAATGAAAAACACAGAAACGTCTGTTGAATATATGTTTCAAACTTCAGTTGGTAACCTGTACCGTAATGTCGTTGTTTCCATGTAGACTTCGGCTAATTATGTCTGAAGGTATTTACAATGTATAAATTATACAATATATAACATTCACGATAAAGCGTTTCCATTAGGCGTAAAAGGCAAATGACTGAAAACTATAGAATGGGTAGCTAAAACAGAGATGACACCGGGTGTTCGCGAATAGGGTAAGCAAGTGATGTCCCATTGGTAGCACCATGCAGTCACACAAATTGCCTACAAACGCAATTGGTTGTAGCCTAACGCAGCACAGCATTAGTCTTGCAATGTAACGGCGGGCTGTAAACAAATCAGACAATCAAGTGATTACACGTTGTAACATCCATAACACGTGTTGTCCTTGGGAAATATGGTTTTACTAAAAACAAAGAAACCTGTGAAAACACAAGTTATAACACATTGTTACATCAAAAACACGTGTTGTGCTTGTGAAAGATGGCTTTCTTAAGGACAGAGAAACCGTTTGAAAACACAATTCATAACACGTTGTAACAGCAATAACACGTGTTGTCCCAGGAAAGTATGGCTTTACTAAGTACAAAAAAACTGCGAAAACATATAATTTATTATGAGACTGGGCAGTAAATACAAATGCTGTTCAATGTGACGGCAACGGTGTTGGCAACGTCGGCCTGTAAATAGTCTGTGTGTCGAATAGACCAGCTAGTGACCAGACGGACGGGATTAACAATGACCCTCTCTATTGGGTCATGATGACTCCATGTGAACGAATTCTGGTCAAACCTGACATTGGAGTTTTAAACTTGTTTCGACTCGTGTTGATATATTTGGCTTAAAATGACCCGACGGAGAAATTCTAAATGTTTCATGCACAGATCTAGATTTAAAAGGGACGAGGAGTTTGACTGGTTTAAGTGAGTGAGTGAGTTTAGGTTAACGCCACACTCAGCAATATTCCAGCTATATGGCGGCTGTAATATAATATATGTCTGTAAATAATCGGTACCCCACCAGACAAGCCAGTGATCAACAGCATGAGCATCGATCTACGCCACTGGCATACGACGACGTGCGTCAACCAAATCAGCGAGCCCGACCACCCGATCCTGTTAGTCGCCTCTTACGACAAGCATGGGCTCTAGTTCATGTTGATAAACTTGTACCGTTGAATCAGTGTAAGGGAAGTGGCTGTATGACATTTTTTATCGATATCAGATGAAAGATATAGGCTTTTAAATTGAACTTCCTGGGCCCTGCTTTGATTTTGTAAATCCACGCAGAATTTCCTATTTATTTTGCTAAAAAAACATATCAGATTGGATATGAGTTTAGTTAGTGCCCACAGGGATGCTTATTTCTTGTCTAAAGACCCATCCCCTTAATTTCACATAGATGTTATCTCTTTGGATATTAATTGTCTCTGCCATCACGACAAAGGACGGCCCACAGGCATGTGACCGTTAAACTGGTCTCGCGGAGCAGGTGCTCTCTTCAGCCCCTGTCAGCTTCATCAGAGAAACTCATTTACAAACACGCCACACTGCTTCTGTATTCCCGTGGCACGCTTACAAAACACTAATGGTTCCTTTAATCCGATTGTGGAGATGGATCATGGACATTTTGTTTCTTATCCTGTAATTTGACGGCAGACGTTTTTATCGTGTTACAGTGATTTCCATTCTTTACACATACAAGCTGAGCTTCTGTTCACCATTGTCGACCGACGGATTGCGGGACTTTAAGTGTATTGGCTTTTATGAGACTTTACTTGCAGTATCAGCTGATGGATAAAACAATGAAATAAAATTGATACTGTGTCCCAAAGGTGCTTTTGACATCCTATATTTCATCAAACGGAACGTTAATCAAATCTGTTTTATGGCACACGCGAGTGTAATTCGATAGTGGTGACGTTGTATTTGGTCGTCATCTTCTCTGATATCCCGTATGATACTGCTATGGCGTCGGTGTAGGCGTTGGTGTCGGTGTCGATTTTGGAGTCGGTGTTGGTGTCGATGTTATTGTCGGTGTCGGCGTATGTTCTGATATGTTATTACACATATGATTATATTTATACTTATGATTATGCAACTCGGAATCTTTCATTGTTTTTGTACTTATGTCGTATCAGATACGTATTGAGTAAACACATCTCGAGACACAACATCTTAACACACACAATTAAAATCAATCAATCCATTCACAAATATTCGAAATCTGATAAAATGGGAACACCCCGCGCTCAACTAATCAAACGAGATGCCTTTTTGACTGTCCTTGTAAGTCGAAAGATACTACTGTTAATCTGAATCTATTGTGACCCGTGAAGATCCGGGTTAGAAATGATCTTCAGCAACCCATTCTTGTCGTAAGAGGCTACTAACGGGATCGGGTGGTCAGGCTCGCTGACTTGGTAGACAAATGCCGTCGTATCCCAATTGCGTAGATCGATGCTCATGCTGTTGATCACTGTATTGTCTGGTCCAGACTTGATTATTTACAGACCGCCGCCATATAGCTGGAATATTGCTGAGTGCGGCGTAAAACTAAACTCACTCACTGAGTCCATTGGGCACCACAAATACGCATGAACAGAGGTCAACGAGAGAAACTCATACCTTGCCCCAGATGCACCAGCAGATCAAACATGTCCTACATATTCAAGTAGTTTAAATGATCGTAAGATAATCACACATTCATCGACCAAATGCAAACCATGAAAAATGATCGCGTAAATGCAACCGATCAAGACAAGGTCTAAAACTTGGTCTCCTTCAAAGACAGAACCCAGTTCTTTGTTCAATGGCGAATTACTCTTCAATAACTGTACTCAAGGACTCGTGAACCTATAACTTCGCGGTCGATGACAAAGTAGCAATCCTTGAACCAGAGCCGCATATATTGTATATGATTAATACGAAGGGACATATAGTTTTACAATATCCAAATGATCTTGCCTTCGGGGAGGAAGCACTTCATTAATACCATATATAACGGGCTCTTTGACCCGCCTGGCCGGGAGTGACGTCCCTGCTGACGTCGCGTGGTTGACAGTAATGAAGATGCGCGCGGCACGTCAGGCGCGATGACGTGTCTACTGGAACCGAAGACATTGCGCGCCACGGTGTGGGGAGCGATAAAGCCGACATTTGATTATAGAACTCGTCTGAGTGGTTCTGCAGACATTCATGAGATATTGAGATATATGAGACGTTTGATTTTGAAAATGTTATGAATATACAAAAGTAAGTTGTTCCATGTGTTCTTGAATGTGAATACGGGGAATAAAACATTGAAACTACAATATAGAGTATAATGTGATCGGATTTTGTGTGAGTGAGTGAGTTGGGTTTTACGCCACTTTGAACATTATTTCAGATAAATCACCTTTTCAATTTTGGTGTAACCCATGAGAACGGGTATAGTCCTGACTGACCTAGAAACACCCGATCACCGAACACCCCATCATCGGAACCTGGCGTAACCAAGGGACGCAACTCTGCAAAGTGACTTAAATAACTTAAACGACGGGACCACCGTTTTCCGTTTTGTAAGAGAATATATGTAGTTTCAAATAGGGGGGCCGTATGCAGCAATGCTGTACCGGGAATCAGTCATGCTCTTGCGATTTGAAACTTCTTAAAGTTGAACAATGAAAGTTAACTATTTCTAAAATTAATTAAAATGAATTATGACTCATGGTTTCAACGTTTTGAATGATTTGTACACATGCGTCAAACCAACCCTTAAAACACGCAAATACGTTCTTTGTATAGCGCTATACATGATGGTTCCTGTGTTTGAGTTTTGTCTCAGCAGGAACCGTTGTACAATCACGAACTCGTCAAACCAAACAGTTCTCATCCAGTAGAACATTTGCATGGAAAATTAAGGTCAGTTTGCAGAAGCACTCTCGAGCATCTCGCATTACACAAACATAGAGGAAAAGCCTTTCGAGCACTTAACTGTACACGGGGCAATATTCCTTCTTTGGATCTCGCCATGATACTTTAACGTATTGCTATCAATTCCTTTGTCAACTTGGCTGTACAACAAAAGCAGATTATGCGCCCAATCTTCTCCAGCACATGTCTGTGCCTTGTTTGATATAACGCCATACAGCAAACATCCCACATCCTACATCCTTATGCCCTACACGATACAACATCGTATACGAACATAAACATCCCACATCTTTGTGCCTCACTCGATATAACCGCACACAACCAAACATCCCACATCTTTGTGCCTCACTCGATATAACCGCACACAACCAAACATCCCACATCTTTGTGCCTCACTCGATATAACCGCACACAACCAAACATCCCACATCTTTGTGCCTCACTCGATATAACCGCACACAACCAAACATCCCACATCTTTGTGCCTCACTCGATATAACCGCACACAACCAAACATCCCACATCTTTGTGCCTCACTCGATATAACCGCACACAACCAAACATCCCACATCTTTGTGCCTCACTCGATATAACCGCACACAACCAAAC